TTAGGGAGACAAACAATTCAAAGGACACTGAAAGCCGAACCAAGAGGCGACAGAAGAATATGAGAGCGCATAGCGGGGAAAGAGAAATAGACACAGAAACGGTGGGTGTGCGTGATTGCTTCAGGTGAGCATGGATGCAATTTTACGCCCTATGGTGCTTTCAACCCATTTTGAGTAGCGAAGATGGCTCTATTTCTTGTGGATCGGAACAGCAAACCCATTGCTGCGAAGATTGGTCAAGTGATCTAATCGCGAAACCTGCCCTTGAGCTCGTGGATAACTCTTCGGGTGGCTTTTTGAGCTGAGTAGTAGGAGCGAAGCGTGAATATTATTTTGCTTGCTATTTCAAAAATGTGAGGGTACGTATTTAATGTATATTGTACGTAAGTATGAAGTGTGCCGAACATGAGAACAAGAGCAATTTTCTGCGTGGTAGGTGAAGGATTAAGATATCTTGCAAGGTAACGACATAACGTACCACGATGACCGAAGCCTGGTATGAGTCCCTTGAGGCCCTAATTCTCAAAATTAAGCATCAAAATCGGCAAAGATTAGCATCATGGAAACGCTCAACCATGTGTCACAAAGTAATTTTTGTTTACTGTAGCAACGAGCTGATACACTTAAAAGGGAGGTCTTTCAGGATGAGGGGCGCTTTTTCGAAACGGTTTTGTGCATATTGTAGGGACGATTAGGGAACACAAAACCATGTTTCATTTTCGCTGAACGGTTATAGCAGTACCAAAAAAGAAGCATAAGATACTGTTAAGGATTCGATCCCCCGTGGCGACTAAATTTTGCTTTGGGTTGGCGCCTACTGTTTGGTGCCAGATCACGCTAAATATCAAAACCAGATGTCAAACTCATTGTCAGGACCTTTCTGAAGCCAACAAGTGGCCGCCAACCTTGATTGCAAAATTTATTCGTCGCGGGGATTGAACTATCAAGAGTACTATTCACCACTTTTTTGGTAGTACTAAAACCGTTCAGCGAAAACGAAACATGGTTTTGTGGTCCATACATGTGTCCCTACAACATGCTACTTGAACCGTTTCCAAAAAAGTCACCTTGCCCTGAAAGACCTCCCTTGCTAGTATTAGGTCGGTCAAAAAGTATCCGCCGTTTTGGCCCCCTAATTTTGAAGCACCACAACTTTGCAGAAACACAATCTTTTCGTTCGAAATAAAATAAAATCTGTCCAGCAGATTGTTCTCAATCAGACACATGCTAAGAAGTTCCCTCCTATAGATCTCTAATTTATTATAGGCTAAAAGCTGTGGGAAGGTGCATTTGACATGCCTCAGTTCTCAACGCGATTTCTCCTCCAAGAACTACGTTGAAAAGCGGGAATTGGTGGTTCGTGTAAGATGTATCTGAGCTATATAGAGGATAGCAAAACAACTTCTGAGCCATTTCTGAATGGACTCTACAGAGCGTATGTTTGATGGGCGATTTAGCGCTATCGTGGCGAAGGACTGGACCTCATTTTTTCCTTGAAGCAGACTATCATCCCCGTAGTTTCTGATGTTTTATGTTCTAGTCTCTTCGAAAGGACTCGGCCGTCGTCGAATGAGTCAATTCTCGGACTCTGAAATGAGCTAGGCCATCGAAAATTGAGGAAAATCCTTATTGGAGGCGCTCCAGGTTTTGCAGCGTTCCAAGGCAGCTTGGTTTCGTCCACATATTTGGTAACCCTTTCACTGTTAGCGTGCAGAAGTGTGGTCTTACCCCACACTATTACCCACCTTGAAAATTGTTCCTTACTGTTGCAAGGAAGAGTCCAAGCACACACCTCCACGCGCGTCGCAACTGCTAAAGCTGCCAGCACGGGTTACTCCGGTGAATAGATTGACGGCATTCTTCCTGCTTTCTCACAGCGTCCATCAGGCTGAGTTCGGTGCCTTTAGAGACCCAACCTCTAATACACACCTGTAGTTGGGTATCAGTGATAAGCTTCCCTTATTTCCTTTTCACAATCCCATAAATTGAGGGCACTCCTTATACTACGCGTATCTCTTTCGAGCTTTATTTCTCCAGGCCCAAGCCTGCCGAGCTGATTTTGCGCTATGCGTTCCCTAGCAGCACTCCTTCTCAATGCAGTCGCCATATTACGAGCTGGCCCTGGCATGTCTATTTCAAGTTCGATAACATGAGGTGGCAGCAATCGAAAATCACGATTTTGCTTATCCTGAAAAGGAGGGTAAAACGACAAATGCTCTCGGAATCACCTCGAACCTTCGTATGAACATGAAAGCGCTGATCTTCCTCCATAAGATGACACCCAAGTTGTTTGAGTAGTTGCGAAAAAAACTATCAAAAAATGCAGGGGACTACTCGAGGTGCAAAACGGTAGGATAATTTTTGACCGACCTGATACAACTATGAAAGTTGTAGAGTAACATCGATGTCTAATCTTACAGACCCCCAGCCTTCATAGGACAATTCTATGAACAGCTCCTGTCGAGGCGCCACTTTTTCAGCAGCCCGAAAGAAAGTCACTAATTAGCACGGTATAGATGTACCAATGAATATCGCGGAGAATCGGATAGGTCTTATTGACCTGTTCGGTTAGTTCTTTCAAGAATGGTACGTCGTGCTTGATGCAATAATTACGAGTCTACCAAGAAGCTCAGCCTGTTTTTTTGTCAGGCTCTAGTGTGACGTTACGACCAGACGGCTCCTGTCCTACGACAGAATCTTATTTTCTGAGCCACACTTTTCCGAGCAGAAGCCCAAAATAGTCGCCGTAGCTCGACTTTTTTTATTTTAGAGAACGCCACGTACTTTACACCACTTCAGAATCGCTGTAACGTTTGATTCAAGCTAGCGTACAAGGACCTGAGAGGCCATTCAAGGTGTAAGCCAGGATTTTTAAAGCTTCGGAGGGCCTACACGAGCTGACTGGCTCGAGAGAGATTGGAAGACCGGGTTATATCCAACTTGATTTGATCCCCCATATTAGCCGTCGCCACTAGCGTTATGAGGTGAATTGCCCTTCCTATAAGTGCTTGAGAAAATAACAACATTGGGAAGTTATCTGGACAAACATCATTCCGTAGTTGACATTTCATCGTCTCCAGGAATCCATGTGAAGTTGAAGCTTTGAAGTGTTGGTCTAATGCCAAGCGTTTTTCTTCCTAAGGTGTCACCTTTATTTAACTAATCCGCTAGGTCATAATAACTACAGAGGTGTTTTCAATTACTGCTAGTCATCGAAAAGCAGAGAGGCAAAAGCCGCCAGAGAGTTTCAGCTACTGAGAAATAGCAATAGGTATGTGGTCAGGAAAGAGTCGTGCTGTATGATTATTGCCACAACGAGGTACGGAAATGGAAACCCAGTTGAAGAAACTCGAATTTCGGCATGTAAAGACCTCATAATCGAGAAAAATAACTAAGAAAATAATTTACTATTCAAACATTGTTAAGAGGTTTCATGTTCATGCCTCAAATCTTGAGGATCAAGGGCATTTGAGAGCTTATTTCATAGGATCATTGGACCTGTCCCTTCCGAGAAAAAGGTTGACGGGTTCACAACCGTAGCAGTAGGGCCACTTTCACGACTCATATCATGTGGAAAGGGCAATATGGGCTCAGAAGGTTAACCCATTGCGGACCGCCGTTACAATTGCACCTCCGCAAGTTTTTGTCATCTGTTCAATCAGTGGCCGATGGCCTATCAAAATTTAACCAGTATGCCAATAAGTGATATATCCCATGTCCAAAAAAGTAAACTGAAGATTTTGTAACTTAACAAAATACCGAAAAAAAAGATTACTGTCCTTCACCGCGTGGTGGCGTGCTGCACCATGTGCAGCACGCGGTCTGCAATGGGTTAAACAAAGGGGACCTGAAGCAACACGCAAGTCCCACATCGCGGTACCTACCGTCTCGCTTGCCGCTATGCTCTCTCGTTTCCATCTGTCAATCTCTCAAGGTTTCTGAGAGTGCACGTCCGCCAGACTCTCTGACTCTGACCGTTCACAAAAAGGACCCTATTTAGATGGTTTTTATGGTTTCGTTTCGTTCTTCTTCACAGGTAAGTCACCTGGCATACAATGTTTCATATTTGCACCCCATATTTACTCCGTTTTTGCTCTCGCAGTGTGTGCCTTCGAAGAAAAATATTTTCTAAACAGTAGCTCTCTTTAATACAGAACGCACTGAAAACTGTTTCTTTGAATATTTTTTAGCGCTACTGTATGGACTTACCAAGCTATTCGGATTAGCATTTGATAGTAAGTAGTTGATAAATACAGCGAGGTGAGCAGGATGTGTTTTTAACTCCGCCAAATTTGAAAATGGACCATGGCTATCGATCTGAAATTGCACACGTTCTATATAAGAATAACATTCCGCGATCAGTTTTGATAGAGCAACTCTTTGAAAGAAGGGATAGCTGGCTGGATAGACAGATATCGCAGAGGTAGTGCCACTTCTGCGACTGAAAACGCATAGCAAGGAAGCTATGGACCTACGAATACCCCTCGTATACCCAAACATGCTTATACGTACACCGTGATGAATGCATTTATTGGTGTCTGCATCTCGCCTTTACCCTACGTTTCCTCGTCTCCCAATCTCTTCTCGTCTCGCTGTCCCGTGCTTCCAGGACTATCTGCCTCGTAGACTAGCCCACAGCCCGAGAACACACTTATTCACTTTTCTTTCGGCAGTTACTTTCATTTTCATCTGAGAACCTCTTTAAACCTCGACTTCGCACCAATTTGTTTAATTTACATAGGATAAGGGACCTGCCCACTGATCGGTTATGCATGACTCTTTCAGCCATTTCTGAAACTTTTGCAGTTCAGTTCTTTGTGGAATTGATGTTCCGCCGGGAAATCGAATGGTGGGCGCAAGTGCAGTTAACAAGGAGCTCCGCAGAGTTTCGACCGGGCGCAAACCGAATCACAGCTCAATAGCCTTCATCACAACCGCTGACATGCCCAGCTTCCTTTCACTGAGACACTATGTAAGAATCAGGCTGAAATCCACACCTCGACATATCGTGAAGGCAAACTCTCCGTTTCATCCTCGTCCGAGTCGCCATCCATTGGAGTACGAGACTGAAACGATATGAAATGAGTGAATTCACTCTCTAAAGTTTTTGAAGTTGACTTACTTGACTCCAAGGGGGTTCGGCTGGTTTCACGTGTCGCAGTTGCGATTGAAGCGACACGATCCGCTTCAGAGCACGGTCAAGCTTCTCGCTGTTCTCTGAGTCGCGAAGTCCCTGCAAAAATGAGCTTGGACCTCAAATTCGATTTCATTCTATGAGAGGTCATGGTAGCCGCTGGAAGCAAAAACGACGTCTAGAATACAGTGAATATTTGATAACTTAGCTGCTTACTTCATACACACCAAAACTCTAGTCATTGGTAATGAATCAGTAGTGTCTTGTAAACTCAATTCCTCGAAATGACCACCCTATTTTGAAAATGGCCATCGATAAGCTAGTAGCTTCCTTCAACTTGGCCATATTATTGAATTTTTTTGGAATTTTCTCCAATTCCAGAGCAACTTGAGGAGTGTTTCTTGTCACAATGCTTCCGACTTTACAGTCAAGTTGAACTAATGAGGTCACCGGCACAACATTTTAAAGTAGTCAGGTTATCAGTTATCGCAGACGTTATCAGTTTTCCTGCCCACTAATGGAACACTACAGCAGGTTACTGATAGCACTTTTTCATCAATTAGTATATTGGTAAATACCACATGGTATAATAAATAATGAATAGCCAGCCATTTTGCTTGAGTCGAAAGCATTATCAAAAGATTGACCAATAGTGGACGTGATGTGCATGGTGCACCACGTGGACACAAGGAGAAGAAACTTTCAATGACGTTCTCACATTCCCAACTTGAGAATCTTTGTTTTGAACCCGTAACACAACATATTTATTCTTACTAATAAAATTATTGGTAGGAAAGAGAATCAGATGAGGAAAAACATTCAAAAAGTTACGAGATACCTAAATAAGCGCTGCTCTCAAGGGGTCAAACTGCTGAAAATAGCGACTGAAACCATTTTTTAAATAAAAATCGTAGCCCATACTGCTCGTTCTCTTTTACAACCTGATGATGTGCGCATTTTTTTGAGTCGAGCCTTTCCCGTCGCCTTAGTCAAAGGTCCTACTGCAAGAGTAGTCGGACAAATTCGAAAAGAAAAACGAAAAAAAATGTAAGCCACTCATTTTTGAAGAATGACGATGTAAAAGCAATTATGAACGGGCAGGCAGAAAACACTGTAAAGTTACTGTAAGGTTGGAACGTTACTCAACAGATGACGCATAACAAGAACTATATCTAAACCATTGTATGGTGCAATGGTTCAAATGATGAAACACGTTAAGAATTGAAAGAATGCCCCCTAAAAGAATGGATGGATGGCCTTGGCTCCAGAATTCAGGCGCGTCTATAAACAACGAAAGGTTTTCAGGACTAAAACCCATTTGTGCTGAAGTTCAAGTTCACCTGCCTCGAACGTATGTGGTCAAATCGCTTTATAAGTTGTTCATACTCACATAAAGGCGAATCTTGCTTTGCCTTTCAAATAGCTCAACATCCTTTGATTTAGCAAAAGAAAGGTTTTTTACTGACGGATTCTGTATTATACTGTGAATTCAATGGCAGTATGAGATCGGCATGACTGCACCCGCCCTTGCAGCTGAGCAAAAACACAGCTTTGTGGAACTGAGCGCAAGATTTGATGCGGGTGTGGTTGACTCGAGCCGGCTCATTAAGGCTCGTTCACAAATCGTTAATGCCAAACCGAACCGAACAATGGAGTTGTGGTTTGGGTGTGATTCCCACTTTCTGATCAATACCCGAGCCCTGAGAACCTTTGTAGGCAAACACGTAAAGCGCTAATGAGCAAAATCAAGGGCTAAATGATTATGGTTGAAGAAAAGTCATCAACCGGCTAAGGGATAAAAGCGAGAAAGGGTGGGGTGGGTCGCAGTCTTGGACAAGTTAACGAGACAAGTTTATGAACGCGCGCAAGAAACGCTAAAATTAGGCGATTATGGGAGAGCGAGGATAGAGCTGACTGTGGGGCGTGAAGCTTTGGTTGACGAAAAAGTCGAAGCTCGAAGAAGGGATGGCCACGAGGTCTCGCTATCGCTCTCTCTTTGCCTGGATGCTTAGTAGAGACGGACGGATGGACGACGGACGGACGGCACATTGATCCTCAGCCTCTAGTGAAAAGCGAAAACGACATCGAGACTTGACATATCTGGTGGACTCCTCACATCCACCCACCCACCCCCATCAATCCGCCATGAAAGTGTGAATGATCGCGATTACCCATTCACGCATCATAAATGGCTATCAGACAGCACTCCAACAAGTCCTAATATTCGGGTCAGACCCAGAATATTAGAAAAAACTCTCTTTGAACTCGGAGCAGTGAAAAGATAATTCAGTCATACCCTTTCATTTCCATTTTTTTGGATGAGTTGGGAGCAGGGTCGGTCCTATCGCTGCCACTTTTCAAAAAGTTTTTACGACCCCCCTCCCTCATAAAATGTTTCATACAACCCCCTATTTCAAAACAATTTTTACCCCAAAAAACTACCGTCGAGCGGAGGAGGATGGGGTATATACTTACCGTAAAACCGCAAAAATTCCCTACATTCCCTACAATGTCCATGTATTTTACCCATATTTCAACTGCTCCATTTTCTAGGGGAGGGGGAGGGGGGTAGATCCGCGCGCTGAAACGGCAAATTTTCTTCCGCGCCGCTCCCTACTCATTACATGCAACTTCTTATAACCGAAGCAAGTACGACCCCCCTCTACAAACTCATCTAAATACGACCCCCCCCGTTGCTACTTGTAGCAACATAGGGTTGACCGCTGTTTGGGACCAACAGTTACCACAACCTAATTCGTGATTCACACCTAATTCAACCCGGTTAACCCTTTGACGACCGTGTGGCCCACCGGTGGGCCACACATCCACTCTGAGGCGACTCGTTTTTCGTTGTTTATTTGCCATTTTTTCATGCCTCAAAACTGCCCACATACACTAATGGATCCGCAAAATACTGGGCTCATTACTAATAATGAAATTGTTAGAGAATTTATGACTACTGAAGAAAAAATTTAAAAAGAAATGAAGTGACGCACGCACAACGGCGGTCGTCAAAGGGTTAAAGTCATTGTGGTATCGAAAAATTCACCGGTTTACGCGACCACATCTAAGCTCAAGGCTAGAAGCATAAAGCTTAGAATCGTATAAAGAACATAACATCACTTCAAAGAGCGGGCTAGCACAAAACAGGGAGACACAGCTAATTCGTGAACGTTCTCCTCCATTTCCCAAATTCTGGAAAAATCTCATGGCTGCAAAGAAAAATCGAATCGTTTCAGGCCTTTATCATTTATGAGGGATGGCAGACTAATTTAAACGGGGCAGAAGACATCGACGTGGGTGTAATCATAAATGACGGCTTTCAAATGATAGAATACTATACTCAACTGAATTCCCAACAGTAAGGCCCACCAGCTTCACTTCAACGAGCGCCGGGACTCAGTCCATCCCATGGAAAAGCTCATTCCGGAGATTTTGAAAAGATATATTTTACCTGGCACAAATTCTATATCTTCTTTCCAGTGTTGATTCTTTCTAAAGAACCTTCAACCCAATTTACTAAGCATGTTACAAGCTGCGAAAGGCAATGCGTGGGTGACAACAGCTCCAGCTATTTCAGCGTTTAACCTGGTTCAACCTCGAAACCCTGCCTACAAAACTCCTAAAATGCGTCGAGGCTCATATTATGCCAAATGCGGCCCAAGTACACCCTAACTACAAGAAAATCGAAGGACTACAACTGAAAACAGATGAAGGTGTATTTACTACAATTATTACAGGTATTTGAAAGTTTATAGTAAATTATTACATCCAAGTGACGAAAGACAACAGTCAGCAGCACCTCTGAACATATTTACGCATCACTAGTAAACTATTAGTATATTTCACTTTGTGACCTATATGGAACCATCGCTACTCTACAATTACCCATAAATTTTTGCGATCACGTTGGAAAATTTTTTGAGATTTCAGGATCCCACCCCCCTAGAAGACGCCCCCAACACGACCCCTTCCCCTCCACCCAACAGCTGCCGGCGCCCATAGTGCTCTAAACCCCACTTCCTCCTAGCCTTTTCGGAACGTGACCCCCAAAACTCCAGTCTTTCGAACCTGGGAGGGAAAGAAGCATTGAGCTGCCAAATTTTCGAAACTTCTCGGAATTTTGCAAAAAAAAATCAACTCCCCCCTCCCCCCTCCAAAAAAATTCTCTCCCTATATTGGGCAAAGTAATATCATTTCCCTAAACACGTTCCCCTCATTGGAGAATTTCCAGCGGACTGTTGACGATGTCTGTGTACCGAAGCAAACATTGTATTAATTATTCTTTGTAAAACAATGAAGTATTCCTCCTTTGAAGACCCGGAACTAAGAAAAGATCAAATTGAAACTGAAACCTTGCTTTGTCGTGAAGAAAAATGCAGAAGAACGCAAAAATTTTGCAAGAATTTTGTTTAAAAAAGCACAAGTACTGTAAAACTCGCGGATGCACATCAAGAATAGCATGAGAACAAAATTACTTAAAACGACAAGTGCGACTAATCTACTTTCAATTTGTTATTTTCCACAGCTTTTATTTTATTAGTTTCATTATTTTGGGGTATTTCAGAAAACTGTCAAATTTCTTGTCCGAAGCGAGAATTTAAGAATGCCGCCGCCTTCAGTCACAATCAAACGAGCTAGCGCCGTTACAACTTTGTGAAGAAGGAAGTTCGCAGTACCTATCAGACCAAAAGTTATTTCATTGAATTTAATCTACTCAATTCAAGATCACCAAAATGCTTGATTATGTGTTTCGAAGAGTCTGAGCTCCACGATGTGACCAGCTGGAACCAAATAGGAGGAAGGGGTGGGAAGTGACATGAGGACGGTGGTGAGGACGTCAGGGTAAGATGTGTCAGTTGTCTATATTAGTCGGCACGCTTATAGCATTGTTATTTCAATTGAGCCTCTCTCAACGCAAGTCTTAGACGGGTGACACATGGCAGCACATTGATAGACACCTAGACAACCGCAAGAGCTTATGTAACAAGTGTATAATACAATCAAATACAGGCCCGGCCCTAGGGTCCAGCGCTAAGGTACTGTAAATGACCGCAAGGAACCATTCATTGCCAAAGTTCTTCAAGGAGTAGCATTTCCGATTAATACTAGCACTTAAAGGGACGGTGCGCAACTAAGTACGCTCACCTGTTTCATCACCGATCGTAGAGACAGGCGTACAAGAGTTGATGACGCGCCTCTTCTGCGGCTTGATATTACGCGACAAATGCATTATAAACTCGCTCAGTCCGCGATCTACACCTTCGTACACAAGCCCCGCCTTCCGCTGTCGGCTGCCACGTGGCTCTGCAAGAAAAGCGTGGGCGCAGTTGCAGAAGCGGTTGCATTGCGGTTTTCAGTCATTGGCATACAGCAGCTGGAGTTAGGTTCGCGAAACTCGTCCAACGTGCCCCTTCTGAATCCTAAGGTAGAATGCGGTTGAAATAGAGGAGGTCCTTATTCAGGGCGTGATTGGAGGGTTTCTTTTGCTTTCGCTACTCTTCACCTCCAGCTTCATTACCGAACGCTCTTACACACCCATTTTATCCCGGAACTCCTGGTCTTCAAGGGTTCAGCCAGGGCCTGGAAGCTGGACTAGGTTTCGATAGGGCTCAAATGATTATTCAGGGATTGAGTTGTTTTCGCAATGGGTCCGCATTCACAGAGGTAGTGCCACTGCCGCTACTCGACACTGCTCGACAAAGACGCTGTCCCTTGTACACATGTTTGCGAGAGGTTGCGGCTATGCCATGATCCCAACTACCGGGGTGCCTGCGTTCTCTCGCCCCATATACTCTCTCGCTTGTACTCTCTTTTTGACCAGAGATGTCTACTCGTCTTACCGCAGTTTGGGTCAAAAAAGGCTCCCAATTGTTCCTGATTACTTCTTCTGCATTTTCTTCACTGCCGGATTCCTTCGTATTTCAACTTTCAATTTCAAGCGTAATAACCACAAAACTAGCTGATCCGAAGTGTTCTTCGATAAGGTATATGAAAACATTGCTAATCCAAGCCTTTGTGAAACCTATTGTAGTGATAAAAATTAGGTCGAACCTCAACATGCTTCCGTTCTTCATCCAACATTTGACTCAGTAACTCTTTTCGTTTCCGTTTCCAGTCCTCCTTCCCAGTGTTTTGCTAAAATCATGGCATTTCAAAATGATCATTACAGATGCTATGGTAATTCATTCAAAGTGTGAAAACATGGGTCTCACCTCTATAAGCACAGGCTCGTGTATGGAACTCGTATCGAGTTTCGAGTCGGGTATGACATAAAGTCCAAGCGGCTCGGGTGGTGCACCCAAAAGTGTGAGCACAACGTTCTGACCACCTGAAAATGTTACAATCGGTAAGAGAACTCTGGTCATGTTGTAAGCTCTGTGTCAAACTGATTTTCATGAAGAAGTATCCATCTGAAAAATTGAAATAAAAAAATGAAATTTTCGTTTAATGCTGGTTCTTAGGTTCTTGAAGCAACAAATTGCAGTTTCATTTTATACTCATCGATCCTCACTTCTCAACTAACCCACTGCATATTAAAGGAGAGGATGTACGATAAATTGGTCGCTGTTGCAAATGAAAGTAGAGATTGCAAATGGTGGTGGTGAAGAAAAAATGAGGAACGGCCTAATCCCGTGAAATGAAACCCTTTTTTTGCCTAGATCATTTCCATGCTCAAGGAAATTGTACGAACATGACAATAGAGCTGTCTTGCTCCGCCTCTCTATATCTCTCGCCGAAAACGATAATTCCTCACCAATAACCAGTTACAGGCCGGGTCCTCCACCTGGAGGCAGTGCTCCACACAAAGGTGGGGCCATCAGCGTAGAGCCCTAATCCTTCGATACGGGTACACTCTTCCCCGCTAAAGCACCGCTTTTCGTTTCCTTAGGAGTTCAGTCTCCCTTCACAGCGTCAAAGTTCCCTTCCTCCACATTCAATTTATTGCACCAAATGGTTTCAACTAAAACTATACAAGAGAAAGAGAATCAGGTACGACATCAAGAGAGGAAACTTGGCATTCATTCTGAGTGCAAAAGCGAATGAACAGGTGACGCCCACATAGTTGAAAGGACTTCTCACCAGCTACCTTAGGAACTTGGATAGAATAGGTTCAATTTTCTCAAGGAAGGAGTTTAACATATATTCACTGCATCAGGGTCTGCGTGACTAGCCGTTGTTCTGCGATTCGCAATCAAGTGGAATTGATCACAATAAAACAGCTGATCACCTTGAATACTAAGCAGATTTTTGTTCAAAAAGAAGTTTTGGAGTCAGGTGTGTGATGTGAGATGCGGATAAGCCTTGATACTCTTCGCATACGGTCATGAGAAGCGATAGCTTTTTTTTTCTCGGAAAAAAAATTGTGCAACTTCAAATGAGAATGACGAAGGTCGTTAGGCTGCTCTCATACTTCGCGCTGGTGCGGTCGGCGCAGTCAGTGCCGACGGCGCCGACCGTGCGAAGAGCGTCAACACGCGCTCTGGCGCATGACGCGTACGTTGGGCGCAGATCGCGAGCTCCGATCGATAATCCTGGTCTAGGTGTGTTTCTTGTCTTTTTCGATGTTTTTTGCGCCCTGTTGCTTTTTTTCGTGTGTTATCTGCTCATACTTATTCTTTTTGTCTCGTTTCATACTTTTCAGTTGTTCCGCGGACGAGCGACTTCGTAGAACCCCGTCGTACTACTCCGGGTGAAAGTGGCTATACCGGGTGATTTCATCATAAGCGATTTTGTTTATTCGAGTGGACTCTATAATTTCAGAAGCTGCTTTTTCTTCGATACGATTTCCTGCTGGTGTGCGAATAACAAAATTACCAAGATCCGGCGGCCCTCCGCACACCAGCAGGAAATCGTATCGAAGAGAAAGCAACTACTGGAAACATACAGTTCACTCGAATAAACAAAACTGCTCATGATGAACTCACCGGGTCTTGAAGCCACGTTCACACGGGGTTGTACGACGTCGCTCGTCAGCGGAACAACTGAAAAGTATTCATGAAGACATAAAAGAATAAGTATGAACAGAAAACACACTAAGACACTAGAAAAGGAAGACTGCGCAAAAAGATATCGAAAAAGACAAGAAGTAAACTAAAACCAAGATTATCGATCGGAGCGCGCTATTTGCGCCCAACGTACGCGTCATGCGCCAGAGAGTGTATTGACGCTCTTCGCACTGTTGGTGCGGTCGGCGCCGTCGGCACTGACTGCACCGACCGCACCGAGCGCACCGGCGCGATGTATGAAAGCAGCCTTAGACACAGTTGAATTAAAAAGCATAACAACCTGGCGTGTTCTGGTATCACAAAACTTGGTCACGATTCGGGTCTAAGTTTTGACTTGAAAAAGTAAAGAAGCAAAAGAGTCATCTCAGATTTAATCAGCGTCAACTATTCGCTGAGCGGAATTCAACGAGCAGATTCGCACTTATGAGTTCTGGATATTGGAAAATGGTCGTAATTGGTGGTGATGGAATTAAATTTGGGAGAGGCGAAAGGAGAAAAAATAAGATGTGTTTTTTTTTCGAAATTCGGAAAAATTGGGTTGAAAGTGTTTTTTTTTTGCCGCGTCAACTATTACACACACAAAACTCTCTCACCTTTTCCTGGCCCCTTCTACTAAATGGAATTTTAAAGTTAGAGGAGTTGGAAGTGTGTCAGGAAAGACTACAGCACACCAATACCTAACACCTTGACGACGACCTGACGTGTATGCGCGCCAGATCTTGCAGGCCGCATGGGGAACTTCGCTACGATTTTTACGCATGCCTCCATATTTCCATTTTTTTCGCATCCCTTTTTGATCTCTTTATAGGCCATACGTTGTTATAACCACAACCACATAGCCTGCAGAAGGGTCAAATATGCTCGAATTTAGCAACCCCACAGAATTGTCCGGTAATTTTTTTTTAATTTTTATTTCATTATCATAAACACTCATATAAAATACTTATAGTAGAAGTAAAACAAAACTCCAGAATGATAAGACATGTTTTTCGGTGAGCAACGATAAAAAAAAACTTTTTACGTCGTTTGCAGCAAAAGCTGATAGTTTTTGCTTCTCCAATTATTTTCGTTCTTTTGGACAATATTCTACTGTTAATTATTCAGGTATTCCCCACGCTTTCATCATTATCGAAAAAACTCCGTGACATTCCGGTTTTCTGCATTTATTACCCAAACTCAACCGACGTAAAATTGGGCCAGCGGTCTCGCAAATCGCTCCTGTTCCACGCCGGCGAAAAATGCCAAAACCCACCATGTCCAACGTTTAGGAGACCATCATGGTAAGGCAGGAGTTGAGAGCGGGTAGGGACAATGTTAAGATGTTGTTTCATAGCACGGAATCACTCCTCCAGGTCCCGCAGCAGTAGTGGTACTTAACTTCAAAACCCACTGAGGAATCTTTAACTAAAAATGGTAGTGCCACTGAAATGCGCATTCAGCTTGCACGAGACCTGCGGCGGCTCACGAGTGGTTGTATTTGTACCCTTCGAAAATAGTCGGTATCGACCCATAATGATGGTCCGAAAGCTTTATTGGCCTGAGCTAGATTTGGTTCGAAACTAAATCGCTAAAGATACACTTTCGATATAGGCTCCATTTGCGCTACGCCAATTCCTATCACTGTTTACTAACAAGAATGTTTTGAATGAATATTGTAAATAAGTAGGAGGATACTTCCTCCTAGCACGCTGAAGCGTGTAGGTAGCTTTCTTCTTGCAGTGACACTGATTGCACATGAATGGTCTCCTGAAAACATCCCATTCAGAAAGGGAACATTAGTCCGTTTTAGGACCAAAAACGCCACCACACTTGCATCAGTTTGTGATAAAGACCAAATACGTTTTTGAGTAATCCTACGGTTTTGTATTGTTGTCGAATACGTGGCGCATTCTGAAGAATCACCAGTTTCTACGTGAGATTTCCTTATTTTTGTTGTGATGCTTAAGAGAGGCATTCCCTCTCAAAGTTCGATAAGCAAGATGAGAGCTTTCTTGTTTCATGGTCAAGCATCCACGCATTTTCGGGAGCATTTGCCGAACTCTCCCTCGGGACCGCAAGGTCACAAATCTCACATACGCCGCCAAGTCCCCGTACTATCGCTAAGAGCGCATGCATCTCCTCGATGTGGCCGCTCTATCAACTTAATGCGCAGAGCGCGAAAGCTTACTATCGTGCAAGATTAATATGACGTTTCATTATTCATGAATATTCCAGATCGAAAAGATTAGATGCGATGAATAGGTCGTGATTCTTTCAGAAGCGATGAAACTCATTTAAGACTCTTTTTTTGGAAGAACAAAGATAAGCTTTCGAAGGCATCACCTTAATACACTAGTAAGTAGCAATCCGTTCAGACTGCTTGCGTTGGACTGACAACACAAGGTGATAACGTGTTCTTGTTTATTCTATTCAATGCGCCGAGTTTACTAGAAAGATTGGATTTATAATGAGGCTGATGTAGCGGGCTACTTTCCTTTCACGGCTACACGAGATTGGCCCCTTGCCCAAACTCAAACGATTGGCAGCACTGGTTGCTCAGCCAAAGATTGCTGGCTGCCTGTGTCAGAGTGTGACAGCGCGGACATGAAGATTGGTTGGTCCCCTCAAGAGTTCTTATGCCTAGCGCACACAACTACGTCTAGGAGTGAAAGACAAATGCGTAGGGCATCCCGATGGGATTGGTCTGGGTCATATTGTTCTACAACTTTCTTATGGAAGCAATTTTAACGCAACTCAATTTGGAACCCATCTAATTCAGCTGTCACGACGCTTTTGCAACAATTAATATTCAACAACAATTCTAGAGCTTTGGATGCACCATCTTCGTCTGCTACTCGAAAATGTGCTCAAAAGACGGAGGCAATATTTCAAAAAGTCGCCGGCAGATCTCTTCCCCCTGCCTTACCCCACCTTTATTTTTCCCCACGAAGAAAGCGCTGAAGGTAGCTCATAGCGCTGAAGGTAGCTCATTAGTGCTGTAGAGGGTAGACGAAAAACTAACCGGACGTATTTCTTCGGCTCAGTCACATTCTACCCACCTTGTCTGGTCGCACTTTAAGTTGATAGCCGGCCAGCGACTGTGATCGGGGATGGGCGTTTGTCCCTCAGGCTCGCTGAACCCTGGCGTCATCACCCCAACACTGGCTCTTCAGCCATGTGCGGCGCTTTCTGAGGTGAAAAAAAAACTTGCTACTCTAGATCACCACGGCAAATTTAGGTCCTAACTCGCTGGTTCTCATGCACTCGTCAAGTCCCTCGTGCATTGACTTCCGGTAGTAGACCGGGATGGTGCATACATCCGATATCCAGGCCGGTTGGTTTTTAAAATAATCACGAAAATATCAGCGGTAAATTTTTCG